TAAATGTTTATCTTGGTCAACTTCTCCATCATATTTGATACAGCTGATCACACATGCCTTAAAACATGATTTACCCCTAATTTTGGGGGTGCAATGTTTTTCTGGATTCTTTTCTTTCTGACCACTCCTTCTCAGACTCCTTTATAAATTTAACTTTCTCTACCCATTGTTTCATTATTGATGAACTTCTTATCAGTTTCCATTCCTTGGTCTTCTTTTCAAAATTTATTTTGCTTATAGGCTGATTTATACAGTCCCTAAATTTATACAATTCATACAATAATTATCTGTGTAATTATAACTTACAAATCTATGCCTGACTTCTTCATTACTATCTAGCAAGTTTCTCTGATTCAATATGTGAAATAGTCAACTCATTTTCTGCCTCTCAATACAGGTATCTTCAATTTATACTACCTCAGTAAATGGCATCAAATTACTTAAAATTATCAAGTTAACAAAGATTACGGACATTTCTTCTTTACTCCTTCCATTCTCCATACTCTTTTACTCAATAACCCCATAAGTCACCAACAATTATCTACTGTATCCTTTAAATACTTACTGGCTTTCTCTTTTCCATTCCATTTGTTGCCAAAGCCAAACCACCATGTCTGATCTGGTCTCCTGTAGGAGACTTCAAATTGTTACCCTGCCTTACTGTTCTATTTTTTTTTTTTCATATTGTCATACTGTAATGACTATGATCTTCCAAAAGTACAAACCTTTTACATCTCTCTTAGTATAAAGTCCAAATTCCTTAGAACATCATACGGAGGGGTACCTGGGTGGCTCAGTGGGTTAAAGCCTCTGCCTTCGGCTCAGGTCTGGGATCATGTCCCACATCAGACTCTCTGCTCAGCAAGGAGCCTGCTTCCCCACCCACCTCTGCCTACTTGTGATCTCTGTCTGTCAAATAAATAAACAAAAATAATCTTAAAAAAAAAAAGAAAACTAAGTTTTTTTTAAGTTAATCACTTATTTTGTCTTCTTTGATTGCATTAATATACTATATATTTGAGTTGTAAAGTCACAACTGCTATTATTTTAATGGGTTAATTTGACAGCACACAGAGAAGAATTATGCCATGTAACTTAGATAATTTAATAATTTCTAAACTTTTCACATACAAACTCTAAAATATTCACTGGTAATAGGAATCTCCACATGAAAAAAATGGGTCACCATTTGGCTCCAAATTACATAGTGCTATTCAGGAATGTGAGCAGGTAATTGGGGAGAATTTGGGGCTTAACCACATGGTGCTCTGTCTACAAGGCACCTGGAGAATAAAGTCAGCATCCAGTGCACATCTCTGCAAACATTGGTTAATCTGGCTGATGTCTTCAAATATGAGGAAGTAAAGTAAGTTCTTTTCCCCTTTCCTTTAATCAGGAAGATGTTTTCCTGTTGCCTTTTGTGGCTATATCAGAAGTGAGTTGTAATAACTCTACGAGGCTGAGAACATTGAAGTGTGGAGGTATGTCTGAATAAGGAGATGTATGTGGGAGAGACAGACGGAGACAAAGAGAGACAGAGGTAAAAGATGGATATTGGACTATAGAGACAGATCAAGAATTAAATCTAAGAAAAACAATGTTGCCTTGTGAATGAAGTTCACAAATCTGAGCAAATCAATTTCTCCAAGCTTCCACACATAATATAGGAAATGTAGGTGATATGAGGATTGATTGCAAATGCAGGAATATGTCTAGTGCTTATCTGACACAAGATGCTTTGGGAGGGAAGAATAAAAGCACAAAATTGGATGAAATTCTTTTGAAATAAGCTGCATCAAGAACCTAAAACAAAGTTACTACAAAGTAATAAGGTTTGAGGTAAAATCAAGAAGTGATTTTTAGGGGCGCCTGGGTGGCTCAGTGGGTTAAAGCCTCTGCCTTTGGCTTAGGTCATGATCCCAGGGTCCTGGGATCAGGCCTCTCTGCTCAGCAGGGAGCCTGCTTCCCTTCTCTCTGCCTGCCTCTCTGCCTACTTGTGATCTCTGTCAAATGAAAAAATAAAATCTTAAAAAAAAAAAAGAAGGGATTTTTATCTCTAAGAAGAGTGTATATTCGAAATTCTCCTTTCTAGATGTACTACAATGAAGAGTATCTGTTTGATTACAGAATAAACAGAGTAAAAATAATTTTAAGTATTAGGATCACAACAAAATTTCTTCTAAGCAAATATAGAAAAGATTTTCTTTCCTTTGGAAATTAAGAATAAGGAGATTTAGAATTCATATGATTACAAAATTTATATGGCTTAAAGGTTAGAATAAAGCTTGGCCACATCACCATCTTTGGGGTGATTAATGTGTAAGTAAAAATCCTCAATGGCAACAACTAAAATCTTCTGTCTTTTAAGATATTACATTAAAATACCTACAGCTTTTTCGAGTGGGGATTGTATAAAATTCCAGTACACTCTAGTACACTCTAGTACACTGTTCTCTGCACTGGTGCTACCTAAAGGTATTGAAAGGACAACAGAAGTATGCCATCAAAGTAACAGATTTTTTTCAAACTAAAACTGCAGGATGGTCTTTAATGATCTAATGCTTCATATATTTTGTTCCAATAAGTAGTTTTAAAAATATGAAAAAAATAACTCAGGCTAGCTATTAAAAGCATTGTTACTAAATGTTTTTATTTAACAAATATTCAGTATCCCCTTATTATATGCAAGAAAATATGGAGTTGAGAAAGAAGTAGTAGAAAGGCAAGAAAGGTAATATATGTCTGTCCTAAAGAGGTATCTAACCTGACAATTGTGTTTGAGTTCCCCTTATTTTCTCACCTTAAAAAAAAAATATTTTACAATATAGCAAAGTTATTTTTAAGAAGCTATGGACATTTTTAAACTTTTAGGGTACTTGTTCCCTATTATTTTAATGTTATAAGAGCAAGACATTAAATTAGAATTGGTGTAACTAATATGCTATGCTAAATGACAAAGCAAATATAAAAGGAATAGAATTAAGTTTTCCTCAGATTCATTATTGTATATTCTTAAAATACTTATGATATTCAGAAATAAGGTAGTTATAGTATATTATCTTAAGCTATATTTTTTATTATATGTTTTAAGCCACCTCATTCTTCCCTAGCATATATTTAAGAGTTCTTATAAGAAATATATCCCTTTTAGGGGGAACTCTTAAATATATGCTAGGGAAGAATGAGGTGGCTTAAAACATATAATAAAAAATATAGCTTAAGATAATATACTATAACTACCTTATTTCTGAATATCATAGGTATTTTAAGAATATACAATAATGAATCTGAGGAAAACTCAATTCTATAACCATTTGATTTCCCAGTCTCATTTGAATTACATATTTAGTTTTTAAAGTATTGTTGCCCATAGTCTCATTTTTCTGATAAAATGATAAAAATTGAATTAATTTAAAAATATGGACCAAAGAATTCAAGTATTTACTTAAAAAATCTATGAAGATACTGATTTTTAAATTATTTGAAGACATTTGCCTCTTTAATTCCAGATTTGGCTCTTAGAAAATAGCAACAAGAACATTATATACTACAAATGTAAGGCACCATCTGTTTAGGGTTAGCAGGCTTAAAATACAACACTAAAGTTTTATTCTATTCATCTATTCCTGTTAGGAATATTTATGATTATAATTTTCTTTAGAGATATAGACTTTCCTGAGGATATGGTTCCATATTAAATGCTGAAACTGACCGTACATATTTGGAGAGTGGGTCAAAGTGGTTACAACAGTTTTATTTCAATGGCACTGTATCAAACCCCCTACACTAGCAGTGAGTTAATAAAAGCCTTAGAAGAGAATTATATTTGAAATGAATTAAATGAACTAAGTACCATTCTGTAATAATATAATTGTTTCAGAAATAATACATTCTTAATAATGTCATATAAAAATACAAGAAAACACATTTAACAAATAGAGCACAATAAAATCCAATAACTAGTGGTCAAAATGGCAAGTTAATAGTTTTATTTAATTATTCTTTCCTTCATTTAATCAATAGTTATTGGGCTTCCAGTATGCATAAAGGTACTAGGTTAGGTGCATTATACAGTGATGAGTAACAAACTGGTCCCTTAATACAGACACTATTACTTCTCTTCTTCAAAACTATTTTTCAAAAGCCATCTAAACCTCTGAGTTTTCCAAGGTTTATTCTGGTTCACAGAAATTTAACCCAAAACGTGTTTAGTTTTCCTATATTGAACAGATATAGTCCACTATTTATTTTTCTTGGTACTGATGTGAAAAAATAAATTTTTTCAAACTTAATCATCAATATTACCTTTAATCAGAGAGAAAAATCTCTATACAAATTTACACAGTGCTAAGTTATTTGAAGTACAGCTCTTTCCTTAATGGGAACAATTTGGAAATTATGGAAGTTACCCTGAATCCATAACTATGCATGCCAATGAAGTACTTCACAGATGAAAAAAATTTTTGAAATATGATCAATGACTAAATATTTGCAAATCAAAGTTTTTGAGAAGACTCTGAAGAACAATGCAGCTGAAACATCATCTTTCATTTATTTATAGTGTTAGAAAAGTAATGGTTAGAAGAGCTACAAAATACTGATATTATCAATCACTAAAATAAGTCCTATTTTATTTAGAGTGGCTAATTTAAATAGATTGAATTGGGAATTATTTTTCAGTGAGAATGAAATTTTAAATATCTAATATGTCAATGTTAGAGAAATTAAAAAATTTACTATATTCAAGTAATACTTGTAGTGACTTTGAAGTATAGTGTTACTCACTAAAACAGTTTTAAATTATTTGAGAATATCACTAATACAAATATAATTCAATTATAAAATAGATATTATAAAATTGAGAGTACTACAGAAGAGTAAACTGATTCACAGCATACAGCAATCTTGTATAGAATACCCATACTGCACCACACCAAATTTGTCAGTCATTCATGCAAACAAAGAGGATAACTACTGAAATGCTTAAATCTTGCACTTACCAACCTCCACAACACTAGAACAGTTGGGATCTGTGAAGCCATCTGGACACTCACAGGAAAAGGAATTGTCAGATAATCCTGACAAACAAACACCTCCATTTTCACATGGATTGGGATCACAAATATCACCTGAGAAATAAAGAAACAGATAATGAATTTTCATTTGTCTTAGGCACCAAAATATACAATTTCATATGCCATCTTCCTTTGGTAAAGTCATCATACTTTTCAGATTTACAGAAAAGGTATGCAAGACCCATTTGAATCCATGTGCTTTTCAGAGAGATGGTATTTAACATAAAATTAAATTTTCTAATTCAAACATTGCATACTGAATAACATACTAAAAGTTAATTAACTCAGTCTGGGGTTCCTTCATTACATGTAAATAAAATATTGTCTGATTTGTTAAAGATTAACAGAAATATCTCTGCTAGACTGATTTATTAATTACTCCAATTAAAAAAAAAAAACTTTCTAAGTCCACACACTTAACTCTGTAACTCTGCAATTTCTCTCATTAAAGGAGTGAGGTTTATTTCTGGATCCCTAGAATCTGGGCTTGTCCCTGTGACTTGCTTTGGCCAAAGGACATTAGCGGACTTGAAGACAGCAGAGGTGTGATAAGGAATTTGAATATTTCTACTTCTTGGAACCCTGACAAGGCCATGTGAATAAATTCAGGCTAGCTTGCTTAAGAGAGGTGAGAGAAACATGGAAGAGTAAGAAGGAAACTGCCACAGAGAAATAAGTTGTAAATAAGCCATAACAACTGGGTGTGGTGCAAAAAACAATGAATACTGCTACACTGAAAAGAAATAAAAAATAAAAATTAAAAAAAAAAAAAAACCACACACACACACACACACACACACACACACAAATAAGCCATAACAAAAACCTATAATATGTGGCTTCAGCTTTGGTACCAGGTGGTAGATGGTACTGGTGGAATCTGGAAAGGCACTGAATGAATGACTACAGGAGGCTAGAAAAATGTGAGGCTATCCCATATTATGTAGAGAAAAGCAGCTGAGAAAAGTGTAGTGACAGAAAATACACCTAATGATCTTTTATATATCAGTAATGAAATTTCCAGGCAGAATGTCAAACTGTTAATTGTCTCTTAATAGCTGCATTGATAAGGTACTACAAGAAAGAGATGTGATAAATAAAGAACTGATGAGCTTGAAAGTAAAGGAATACAGAGAACAGGATTTGATATAACCAACCAACCAATAACAACAAAAACTATGTTTCAATCCCAGCCTCTCAAACCAGTGAAAGAGCAAATCCAGAGCTTTGTCAGAAAGACATGGCCTCAACATAAACATCAAATTAAGGATATGCTAGAAGGTCCTTATGAAAATATTTCAAATAATTCAACTACAGCCTGAAAGTCCCTCTAGGCTAAATAAAAGAGCCTCTGGAATTCTTTTTTTTTTTTTTTTTTTTAAGATTTTATTTATTTATTTGACAGACAGAGATCACAAGTAGGCAGAGAGACAGGCAGAGAGAGAGGAAGGGAAGCAGGCTCCCTGCTGAGCAGAGAGCTGAACTGGGGGGGGGTGCTCCATCCCATGACCCCGACATCATGACCTGAGCCAAAGGCAGAGGCTTAACCCACTGAGGCACCCAGGCACCCTAGAATTCTTAAAGGTATTGTCTAAACAGCTTGACACACCCAAAGCAGCACTGATTAAGTTTTGAGTGAAAAGCAGGCTTCAGACAAAGTCATGGGTGTGGTTTTATTGCACAGAGAGGATATAAATCAGATTCAGAAAAGTCCACAGAATTTTTAAGTAAGCTTTACAGGGGAAAGTGCCACTGCCTAGATTAAAACAGAAGGAGGTTTTTCACATTTACAAAAGTATCTGTGCCCCAACTTCCTACTATTTTGTATTTCTTAGAAACTTTATTCTGCTGTTCCATGAATTATTTTCTCTTTTTTCTAGACTAATGACTTTAAGACTTTAGAAAAATAAAAATGGAGGTTAAGATTTTTCACATTTTTAAAGCAAGTAATTAGCTATATTAATAGCATAGGTAAAAATACTACATTAGCAGTGGGATGGCTATTAGAAAAGACAGTCATGAAATAAGTGAATAAATGAAAGAATGAATATCTTTTGGGAATATCATAGAATTTAGTAGGGCTAGACCATGGATTATTTCTAATACATTGTACACTTGTGAAAATTTGTCTTATATGTTATCCCCCTTTTTGATCCTTACTCAGTGTCTTTTGAAAGGTAAGAAATAGGTAATAGATTTGACCAAAATATACGAAGTAGAATCAAGATAACACTGTGACCAAATTGATGTGGGGGTTGAAGGAGAACAAGAAATCTGGGTTGATATCTAGAGCTCCGGCCTGTATGACTGAGTGGCCATCTTTCATAAGGAAATTTAATGGATTTAATTTGAAAGGAGTTACTTTGTCTAAAAAGTCTGTGGGACATCCAAAATGAAAATGTCCCATTAAAGCTACTGAACAGACATATACAGAAATGGAAAGATTTTGCTACAACATGGATTGCTAAGTAGAGATGTGAAAACTATTTCAGTGAGTCTTTAAAAGAAGGGCAGAAGAGGGTACCAGGAAATAGAAAAGAAAAGAAGAGAAGAGGTCCTTGGGCAAACCAACAAATAAGTGAGAAAAAATAAGGAAGAGTCTTTGAAACAGAAGGGGGGAAAAAAAAGGAAATTAGTGCTAGGCCCTTTTTACACTTCAGTTCATTTACTCAGTGACTTAGTATGTCAAGGTCTGCCCGAGATTAATAAAGGTCCCCACATGTACCAGTGTTAGATGGACAATGTCAGCAGAAAACAAAATTTTGGCCTTGAATAAAGCAGATGGTAGACAACAGAAGCCCATCAAACATAATTAGGGTTATTGTAGACCATGCTTTAAATCTGCTTCCCCACATCTAACTATGAAATGTACCCGGGTGTCAGATGGGTTCTTCATGAAGTAAAGGCTAAGACAAAGTTAAGGGTGCAACAAATTTATGAAGAACAAATGTCTGTGAAAGATAAACGAGGAGAAAGCAGTAATTGGCAGGAAAAGCCTTCATTCTGGGATGCAGGTCTGACACCTGAGAAAAGAAATGGGGGCCGGTGGTCGTGGGGACGAAGGAGAATGGAGCAAGTGAGCCTCAGTTTGCAATGCAAATTTGACAAAGTCTTAGCCAACCCAGGAGAAATGAAAGATGACTCTTTAGAGGAATCCTCCAAGGGCAGAAATGACCAGGCATGGGTATCCTTGCCATGTTCAGTCACGGGTTGAAGGCACAGTGACATTCAAATGCTCCAGGGGGGATCCTGGAAGTGCTGCAGAAGGCCTCTGAAGGCTAACTCCATTCCTTGCAGCTGGACCGTTTATTTCCTTGAAGGGATACTGCAGCAGTGCCCTTCCGGCGGATGCTACAGTCCCCTCACTCTCACCATTGTCCTGGTTAGGATGAATTACATTTTTATCTTGCTCCAAACCATCGTATCTGAGCCTGCCATCCTCTCTACTTACCCATTATTTCAATGGGTTGTACAGATGAAGCCTGATGCTTTAAGCAGAAACAAATCCTCTAGCTGGCAAATCAAGTCTAATTAAAATGCACTGTAGGGATTTCTGATTCCCTGTCATTTCAATTAACCCGAGAAAGCATCAGTTCAGGTAAGAATCCTGATTAAAATGCAACAGATTCCTGGACCTCAAATCAGTGCTTTTTGTCTGTTCATTCATTCCCCAATGGATGTGTTGGTAGAGTCCTTTAAAAATAAGATGGCAGCCAGTACAAGAAGACAGGCTCAATATAGGAGAATAGGACAATATACAATTTCATGGTTCTTTATTCCACTGTCAGCAGGCCCCTAAAATATACCTCTGCATATTATAATCTGTGTGCACCATTATACCTTGATGTTTCTTGGCTGGTTGGCCTCACCTGCTTTAGATTAGGACAGATGTGTTTAATTTGAATCTAACTATGTTTTATGATTCCATCTGCAGTTTATGGCAGACTCAGGCAAATTAAGCGGATGCCAATTTGTCTTTTGGCAATAGAATGAAGCAATTATTTTTCCCAGGGGCAAGAAATCATTGCAGACTAAATTTAACTTCCTGTTTGCCTGGTCTTTCTCCCATTCTCCAGGGTTCTGCTTGGAGTGGGACTATCCTGTCTGAATCCAATGTCCATCTCATTCTTCTCACTGGCCCACCACCTGTTGCTAGTCACCTGTTCAAGGTGACTCAGGGATTGTCTTATTTCATCTCATTATAAATTTGCAATCCATGATCATTTAGCCTAGATAGCAAAGTAGATAGGCATCTATAGTACAGTGTGTAGCACGGCAGAAGACAATCTAAAACCTTCTAAAAACCTAAAATCTCTTCATGATTGTGGTTGTTTGCATTTTATTTTTCCTGTGAGGTCAATACACAACCATGCAACTTCTAATGCCAAGGAAAGGAGAAAATCCTTTGTTGGCCATATTCTGGACATCAGGTGAAAAGAAAAGCTAGTTTTTCTCATCAGTGTTTAAATTCTCAGATATTTACACATCCTCTTTTCTTTATATGTTCGTGCCCTTCTCCAGTTCACAGATCAGCGAATCACTGATTCATCTATCATGTACTGATACTCCCAGAAGCACAGGAGAGGCTGGGAATATAGCCTAGAAGATGACACATAAGATTCCAGCACCCTTAGAGATTCTATTGTAGTGGAGGGGATGCATAACGAAAAACTAACAAACAAGTAAGCAAGGTATTGGTCACTATAATAAAAGCCATAGAGAGGGGGGGTACAAGAGAACAAAGTGGTGAGAAAGGCAGTAAAAAGAACTGGTTACTTAAATAAACATCAAGAAATGCTTCTCTGAGGAGGTGTCATTGGAGCCAAAAACCAAGAGATGAACAGTGCCAGTCATGTTAAAACCTAAGGAAGTCTTTCAGGCAGCGGGATAGCAAATGCACGGTCCTACTGATAAGCAAGAGTAATGAATTCAAGAAATGGAAAAGAGGCCAATGCATTTGGGACAGGGTAACAAGATGTCACTAAATACTTTTTGTCAGCAACACAATTTTAGTAGCAATCAATTTATAATTTAAAGCCCCACATTTGACTGTT